GCAACATATCGGCCCCTTTGACACTAGAAACAACACAGACAAGCAATATAGCGCCGTAAAATACTTTTTGGATCGTAGATAGATTACCTTTGTTCCAAAAGTTACCATATAGCCATCACAATTTTTTGGCAAACTTCGCGCCTGGAGGAGTCAGCCAACAGCAAAGACAGACAAAAAAAGAAGATCGAACAGGCTAATAATTAGCACTTCCTCCGGTTCTAAGACGCGCAATACGGCGGTCTCTACTATAGCCGAAGACCACCAAGCCAGTCAGCACTACAAGGAGCGTATTTCCAAGGAGCTACTGCGTTCCCGGCTTTAGCTAATTAAGCGTTTAGAAGTAAACCTGAAGCCAGCGCCCAAGTATTATATCAAGCTGATGGATACAGATGAGGAGATTGCGGTCATGCTGGCCCGCGAAAAGGACGCTGCTATCCGTTTGGCCGCAGCTGTTGGAGCCTCGGCACACGGCGTTGGCTGCGTCACATCGTATGATATGGCACTCGAACAGTGCTGCAGCATACTGTCGAACGTCCCTTGTGAGTGACAAACGCGTTGGATTCTCGAGGAAGAAACATTTGGGTAGTCAAAGGCGAACACAATTCACTTGGCAATTCTTTTTTTATATTTTGAATGCTTTGAAGAACTTTAGTCCGGTTGCTCTACTGCTTTAGCACGTTTGTTTGATGTCATAGTCATATCGGACTGCATCAGGATGACTCACATGATACGAAGTCGCATGATAGGAATCTCGCCTCCCGTAATAGCCACTGATGTCAAACGAAAGTTGTACTTTAACATGGTGTATGCCTGTGCGATGCACAACACACCGCATGAAGTTCCGTAAATAATAGAAATTATGCCTATCAACAAAGGGAGAATGTAAATCGTTATCAGTGATAATACCCAGATGATACCCCAGATTGTTAGTCCCGTGAGTCCAATCCATCACCATAATTTCGCCCCAGTAGAAGAAACACTTCTATTGGATTGATGCTTGCATAACAATCACACACGTCATATCCATTTGGTTCTGAACGAAAAGACCGTCGTTGCCAGCATCTTCATCCGCAAACGCATCCAAAATAGTTTTCGTCCTCTCAAGTGTCGTACTTCCCAGTACTTGCTTTAGAATATTTCTTGTTCGTTGGGGAGACAAAACTATATCTATACCATTTATAAGAATTAGTAATTAATAAATTAAATGAATCTTAGTAAGTATCAAAGCAAAAAACAACAACAGCTAAAAACTCATCACTGGGACCCATCAAGCTGCTTCGACAGAAATCGGTTGATATTCGAAGTGCTCGTCTTCATATCCATCAAGAGCCCAAACTCTCGGTGAACCTGGGACGGAATCGAGATGAACTTTGCTTCACGATACGAGTCAAAAATGAAATTGTTTGTTTCGTGGTTGTGCGTAGATATCTGAAAATATGGATCCAAATGAGAATTTAGTTTTGCAACAATCGAGAAATAACTCATCTTACCTCAGTGTCCGATTCCAATTGCACCTCCCGTGCAGCCATACCCTGTTTGACAACCTTGACACACCGTACCAGGAAGCTCGCCACACATACATCGTACCTCAACGCACAAATGCGGAGACCTTCGCCGCGGGAGGATTGCGTTGAGCCATGTGTACACCACATACGCTGGAAGCTGTGCGAAACGCGCTCTAGTATACGTGTTGCGTTAGCACGGCTAGTACAACAAAACGATCAACAAAGAGAGCAACACATTAGCTGTTAACATGTTTGTAACATTCATCTCTTTCTCCACCACCATAACTTTGCGCCTGTTGTTCCTGGCTTGGGTTTCGGATCTCCGGACGCGTAAATGGAGAAAATGTTGGCTTCGTAATGGTGAAGCACTTGCTAAAACTCTTCCCAGCTCTTGAGCGACTTCTTCGCCAAACCTGGCTTGAAGTTAACGACGCCTTGTCGCGTCTTCACATTACATTCGCGTCCACATCCGCGTCCGCATCGCCTTCATCCACATTCGCGTCACTAACTACCACATTCGAGTCAACAGCCGCATCACCATCTTCCATATTCGCGTCACCTTCGTCCACATTTGAATCGCGCGCCTCCGGACCCGCACTATCATTACTGTCGTTCGGCATCGACTCTGGCGTGTCGTCCTTCGCCGTGGTCGCAGCACTGGCACACGCGTCCTTCTTGCCCGCATCGACGCACAGCCCAGTCACTACAAAAGAAGACAAGCAAAAATATGAGCAACTCAATATTGATATTTGCCGTTGAGTCATCACCTCCACTCGCGCTGGTTGCGGCGGTAGTCGTGCCAACGTCATCGCTCGTGCCCAATGCTGCGTCACCACTTCCTGGGCCCGTCATAGCCGCCGGCGCGTTCTTGGTCTCCACATCCACGTTATTCTCCGCCCATATTCACGTCTTTCTCGCCCGGAGCCGTCTTCTTCCGCGTCTTTATTGTCTACAGGCACGGTGTCGTCAGCAATCACCTCGTTGTTCTCTTCTCCTTCGAGGCTCCCCATGTTGGCCTCTTCATTCGCTACATCGTCTGTCATCGCAAAAGGGTCATCAACGTAGTCTTCGTTGCTGGAAGGGTCACGGGTAAATCCGTGAACAGATCGAACGTAGTCCACAGGCTTCCTCTTGCGTAACCAGTGACCTATACAGACAAACCACAGCATCATAAGTTAGTGCAGGTG